GAGAGAGAGAGAGAGAAAGAGAAAGAGAGTAAACCGAGCGTTTGGATTCGCCGCGGGGTCTCCGCCAGCGGGGACCGCTCGCACGCGGTGGCCGGGGCCGGGAACGGGGCCCGAGCCTGAAGCCTTCCGGTGTATGCGAGAGGAGAGAGGGGTCATCTCACCCTGCCCTGTTCTCCGTGTTGCCGCTGCTCGTGGGCACGAACCACGGCTACCGCCGTCAGCAGGCAGTCTCTTATTACGCCCGCGCTCAACTCTACGCGAATTCTAAGTTCTCTTCTTAGACCGCTCTCAATGATAACGTGAATCGCCCTAACAAGACCCCCAAAAGTCGTATCGAAATAACGGATTTTATTCGGCGGAAAGGGGAGCGAGGCAAAGTTTTAAATTATCTTCGGAAGTACAATGACGATGTGAATATCGTAACTGAGTTATTAATTAAAGTTATTAACTGAGTTATTAACTGGCAAGATCGAGAATAATTCGTGTAACGAACGATAATGCCGAAGAACAACAAGGATTTTGACAGAGTGAGCTGCTTATAATTTCGATAGAAAAATGATATACTAATAAAATCGGGGTATCTAAATTTAATAAAAATATTTTATATTTTATATTATATACATACACATGCATATATACATAAGTAAGAAAGGCTAAATAATTGTCTTCTTTATGTGTATAATATTACGTGGATTTTGATTGAGTGAATGTAAATTCGATGATGTCAAAGAGGTTGTTATCGTCTTAATAAATAGCGGAAAACATTTATTTTCCAATCTACGTGATTGAACAGGATATTATAAACGACAGGGATATCGGGATCTAATGTAGTGGTAATCACTTTGATAAGAACAACATAAAATTAATAACTGACAACAAATAAAAATAATATAAAATTAGAGGCATGATAGTGAAATTAAGTGAGATATTTTGAGATTGGTGAAGTTATATACATAAAGAGACATATCTTATCAAAGAAATTATATTAAATTATTGCATCTCTCTCCTTCGTAGAATGAGTTTTTAAATTGTAATTTTCTTGGCGAAAAGTTAATTTTATCAAACAATAATTCAATGTGTAAATTACAATTTTACAAGACTTATTGTCACATTTTTTATCTCCCAATTTTTTTGTCCAACATAGAATCTACTAATTTTTTTGAATATCAACATATTAATAACATGTTTTTGTCTGCAAAAAGATAATTAGAGCAAAAATAGAAACTAATTTAAACGAACCATTATGTTTTGAATCTTAAGCTATCTCTTTTTTATTTGATTCGATTGTTGCTCTATTTTTTATAATATCCAACATTATTATGAATAAAAGATTTACACAACAATTTTAATTAATTATTATTAGATTATTTAAATTATTTTTCTAAGAAAATTAAAAAAAATTAAAAATTAATTTACAAATTTTAATTTATCGCGAAAATTTTTCTCTTGTTGGAAATATGCTTTGGACAGAATTTCGGTTTTAAATTCGATAAGGGATATTTTGAACAATTAAAGGTGCCTTATATATCGCGATTCTTATTTAGTTCTACACGATATTCAGATTGACGTTGCATTTCATGCGGAGTTTCATCGATAAGCGCTTTCGCGTTTTAAATCGATGTTTTCTGCAAGTGAACGAACGAGAACGAGGTAGAAGATCTGCTCATCGTAAAGAGAGGCGATTAGCGAACCTCATCGCTTCGGCAGTAGAATCACGTCGGCGTTAACACGCGCCAGAAATCTACGTTAGGATGCATACCAATCGTTATTATGATCAGCAATACTTTTCATTCGGAAATATACGTGTTTTCCAAGAGAACAAGAAAATCATTAATTATTAAGAAAAAATATAAATTATCGAAGAAAATTTGGTCATACGAGAAAGAAACTAATTATATTTATATTATTAAAGAAGAAAAAGTTAGTTACTGAAAAAGAGAAAAAGTTTATGACTGAAGAGAAAGAAGAACAATAAATTTTAATGTTTATGAAAGAAAAAGTCATTAACAAAAGAAAATTTGTTATTGAGAGAAAGGAAAAAAGTTAATTCTTCCCGAAAGAGACATTATTACTATTATTATTCATAGTTTTTATGAAATTACATTAGTTATTGAGAATATATATTCTCTGCAAATAAATAGTGAGGTCTTAAGCATTGCATTTCTTATATAGAACACTTGGGTGTGTACCGCAATTTCTAATGATGCGGAAACCCGCTTTAAATTGCAGTCTCTAGGCCGACGATCTTGCAGGGTAGAATATCTAGGATTTTTGTTAAATTCTAAAAAGAATCAGAATTAAAAAACGGAACACCGAGAATATTTAATGTTTAATATACAAAATACATATTCTATTCTATTCAAGAATTGACGTGAAAAGAACTTAATTGATCGGAAAAAAAAAAAATAGTCTGTCCAGCTACGGTGAATACATTTATTCGTGACGAAAATTTTTAATTGACTTTTGAAAGTAGCTCTCAAGAACATTATTTCGTTTCTGCTTATAGTAGTCCGTTTAGAAGTTCGCGAGTACTGTTTGTGAAATTTTGTACATCTTCATTCATGTACATATATTGAATATACGATATGAACGAGGACGTTGCTGGACGCAACGGGTGATATACAAGTAAGTACGCAAAATATCTTTAATTTTGATTTATTATTTATAATTAAGAAATTATTATTTATTTATTATAACTTAGTTCCTCTTCTTATAAATTATCTAAATTGATCTTTTAAAAACTTTTACAAATTTAGTAAATTGTAATTTAGTAAATTGCAAAGCTCTATTTTAAGAATTTCTAAGACTTTTCTGGAGAGACATATAGTATTTTGTTCAACCTTATACTCGATATCATTAACATCAATCTTTTTATTCAAAATCATCCATCTTTCTCGCGCCTCTCCCTCACTGGTGAAAAATAAGTAAATCAATGCTCTGCACAAATTCTTGTCGGCAAAAACGTCGGTGTGATACCCGGGCCAGGGCCGTCAAATGAAGATGGATGCGTCATGTGGTCGGTGCATTTATTTTTCGCGAACGCAAAGGCAAAACGCGCGTTGCACGAGTTGCCAGCATGAGAAAGAAGGAGAGAGAAAGAAAAGGGAAGAGGGAAAAAGCAAACGCCATGGAAGCGAACAACATTTTAACCGCATATAAATCAATCGCGATTCGAATTATTAGCGCAAGAGTTCGCGCGATTGATCACTAAAATCGATTTTATCGCCGTGCCCAGTCGCGTTGAAATTAATATCTTTAATTGCGCGTGCGAGAGATGATTAACCGTCGTTAAATGTTCTGGCGAGATCTTTCTGCGATTAAGGATGCTGGTTGAAGTTTTAGTCTTATCCTTTTCTCTTGGAGAAATTTTCCTTAGTTAATTAAAGATTATAAAAATACTTTTTTGAATACTTTCTCATTGTGCGATACAATTCTCAGGTTATTTATTCTCTGGGTCTTTAATGTTTCTAAATACATCTTTAACGCTGTAGATATATAACTCGATGTCGAAACATGGGGAGTCGATTAACTAGATACGCTTTAAAATATATAAAAAACATTAGTTTCGAAAAGAATAACGTAATGAAAATATATTTTATTAAATTATATATGTAATAAAAAACTGGAATAAAAGCAACAAGAGAATTTATCTTTCAAATATAAATCAAGAGCTACTACCTAGGTATTGTTAAATAATTAAAATTAGTTTTTACATATAATATCTATAATAATCTTGATTAATTTTCCTGTGACATATAAAATAATAATAAAATAACAAATCTATTTTTTTATTACTCAATGTCTTCTTTTGAAAAGATCTCTTTTTTGAAAATAGCGGAATTTAAATTCAAATCCAAATTGATCTCATCGCTATTCGAATAAAGTTGTTAAGAAAAATCATTACTTGGATCGTTGCTATTTTCGAAATGAATTGCTCATGCATAAAACAGAATATATTAGACTCAGCTGACAAATTATATTTTCTAACATACTTCGATTAATTGGTTAGTTAATATTCGAGATCAACGTGTTAAGAATTCTTGCGCGATGATTAAATCGGGTTCTCCAGACGAAAATGTCTTATTTCTCTTCTTCTCTTGGAGCCTTTCACTGGCATGGGTCTTGAACCACACGTGTGAAAGTTCAGAGTTCAGAAAACGACAAATAATGTATACTGACCATGATATATTACTTGAAAGTTATCGAGTATAGAAGACTTTAAGAATAAAATAATTTTGACATTTCAAAATGGTTGACATTTGAATTTTTACTCCTTTAGAGAGAGAGCGTGAACTATCTATTGATATAAAATTTATTATAAGTAATTAAAAGAAGTACATTTCAGTTATTACAATATAGCTTCGCCAAATGTATGTTTTAATTAGTTGTTAAACTGTAATTGTAACCGTGTAGATAGGATTTTATGGAAAAATTTATTAATTATTCTGTTAATCATTAATGTATTATGTATATGTGTAGTATATGTTATACATAAATAAGTGTATTGATTTTTTATTGTACATAATTAAAATGAAAAAGAAATATATAGAATTGTGTCTACGACAGGACAATGTACTTTTCGAGTGCATTCGTGAGGTAGTCGAGCACGCTTTGTTTCGCAGAGCACGTTTAACAATTAGTAGTCAGTCTGCTTGGAATACCCAGTGTAAGCATATATATAAGACACTGGCTTCCTCGAGACTTGTTTATCAAGTTACACATAGCGATCGCCGATGATCTTCGCTGGAAAAGGATGAGAAAGAAAGAGAATTCTATGATAGGATTTCGTCTGCATCTTTTTCCCATAGTTCTATCCGGTATTAAGAGAAATACACGTTAATACGTGAACATTATTTTAAATAAATTTTATTTTTTTATCGTGATTATATGAATTTCTGCCAGTTTTACAATATTAAAATCTCGAATAGCTCGCAGTACTACATGATTCATTGTTCTTATAGTTTTAATGTTTTTGATTTTGTGCAAATTGTTTTTAAATTTAAATATTTACGAAATTTACTTTTAAAATGAAACAGATTAGATAATTTCGCGCGGTTACTATAGGCGAATCATTACTTTAGGCAGTGATAGCTTACACAAATCATTATGACATACGTGCATCATTTTTTTGGAGCAATGATGAATTCCACAAATTATTATGCTGATGGACCAGTTTGAAAATAATTCTTCCCTGCCTTCGATGCGATTACATTTGAATATTATGCGAGTATTTCCTCCGAGTAGAGAAGATTCTTCTGCAAGACGCACAAACTGCCGAGAACTTTGCTCGAGAACGGCGCCATTTCTTCTTTCCATCTTGCTACGCGAAAAAGGAAGAAAATGAGCTGCAGCGGGAAGGACGACTAAAACGCTACTAAAAGTCGACCGGTTGGCAAGAAGCAAAGGATAAGAAGAAGAAGAAGAACAAGAGGAAGAAGGGAAAGAAGAAGAAAAGGAGGAGGAAGACGAGATCTCTCAGGGAGCAAGATGATCGTAAAGGAAAGAACGACAGAGACAAAGAGGTGAATGTTAATGAGGCAGATCTCGACCTTTCGCATCGTGCGAAGATCTCATCAGGACTTACGGCCGAAACTCGAATCCTCGCTTCCTCAGTCTAGCTCGCTTTGAATTCGCAAAGTCAAATAGATTAGCGCGACACATATAACAAATAGAATAATAAATTTAATAAATTTCTATGAGAATAATAAATTTAACAACAAATTGAAATAAAATTGTAATTTTATTTTATGAGAATTCGCGAAATTTTAAGATACGTTTTTCCAACGTAAATGGAACCGTCGCAAAGACGACACTTAAAGATTTCTTGAGAAAAATTATTAAGTCAAAATATTTGACTGTATGATCAATATGATATTGCAAATGTTATTAGAGGTTTTTTTTCAAAAATAATCATGACATTTTTTTTATTTATCTTTTGGAATGCCAATGTCTATTTATATATTTAAAATACTACCACTAGTGTCCATGTGGAATGATGAAATAGCTTATTGTTAGCAATGTCTTTTCGAAGGGTTAAGTTGCGGGAAAAGAGAATCCGTTTCTCTTCTCCGAGCTATTCTCTTGCTCAACTCGTGCGATCCGGTTCTTTGTTGCGCGACGGACGAGACCTGCTCGAGATTGATCGCGCGGTGGTGGGCTTAACGAGGCACGACGGACCTCAAAATCTGCCCGATAATTAATGAGAATCGTCCGTCTGGCCACTCGAGCGACGTATTTAACAATGTTAAAACGCAACAACGAGATATGCAACGAGTATCCTCGACCCGCGAACAGGCCTTGATTCGTCGAAGAAGAATAGTTATTTTTCACGAACCCGTTCTTTTTTTATCTTTTTTATTTCGAGTTGCATTTTCTTTTTAATTTTATTATGAATTTATATATTTATATATTATAATTTTATTATTTGAGACTTTTAAAAGCCTGTTTGCAGTCCTTTTAAGACTGACGTCAAATACCGTTAGACAATTAAATACGCTATTGACACAAAGAGAAATCTTCTATTAAAATTTCATCCGGTAGCTCGCTGTACGTATATAGCTATGCACCGATGGTCATCCGGATAATCCCTGAGTCTAAAAATATAATTCCCAAGAGAGAGTCCTTTCTTCTTGGTTTCACTACCACGCGAACGGCCCGAGGAATACGGAGACGTATTGCGTGGATTCTGATAAAATCTTTCTGTGTTTGTACGTGCGGACCCTTCTTCAGAGAAACTTTCGACTGGAATGTGTGTCTTCTCATATTCCTCAAAATGTATATATGTATTTATTCATATGTATGTGTACAAATGCTATACGTATATTTACTCTAGAGTTACGGAGACGGAGGCCCCCAAGTAAAGAAGCAATTGTGTGTATATTTACTGGAATATTTTTATTTAAAATAGCAGTTTTCATCAGATCT